ACACTCTTGTGGGACACTCTTATAGGACACTCTTGTGGGACACTCTTCTGGGACACTCTTGTAGGACCACTCTTGTGGGACACTCTTGTGGCTGTGGGACACTCTTGTAGGACACTCTTGTGGGACACTCTTGTGGCACACTAGAAGCACTCCTGCGAGCGTTTCGTACGAGACGTCCTCCAAAAGTCACGCTTCGAGGCTGCGCAAGACGAGCGTTTCGTTCGAGACTTTCTCCAAAAGTCACGCGTCAGGTCTCCAAAACGAGCGCTTCGTACGAGACTTCCTCCAAAAGTCACACGTCAAGTCTCCAAAACGAACGTTTCGTACGAGACTTCCTCCAAAAGTCACGTGTCAAGTCTCCAAAACGAGCGTTTCGTACGAGACTTCCTCCAAAACTCACATGTCAAAGTCTGCAAAACGAGGATTTCGTACGAGACTTCCTCCAAAAGTCAAGCGGAAACACCCATCGGAGCACACACATCACGCAGCCCTGCCAAGCAGTTTCGCGAGTCCAGCCCCTCCAAACAATACCCCCTCACACGCCAATCCCAATGTGACAGCGACATTCACCTACTCTACCACAACTCACGACCTCACGATTCCCTGCGCCTGCCACGAATCTTTCCGCATCCACACGTCTAACGCGCACAAAGTACTGCGCCTGCCACGAAATGTCACCTCCGTCACACCTCGCAACCTCACGATTTCCTGCGCCTGCCACGAAAATCGCACTTCCACACCTCAAAATCAGCACAAAGTACTGTGCCTGCCACGAAAAGTGAGAAGATCATCTCACGTGAGCTTCAACAAAATTTGCACCACACCACACGTTTAGAATGATTTCGACCCGTTCTGAGCACACTCCCATCCACCAAAATCGCCATTTCAGCTGAGACTTGTCACGAAAACAGAGCTTCGATGCCACACCCTGAAACGCAAATCCCAATGGCACGGCCACATCCAACACCCCAAAAACACGACTCTCCAAACGCTAATCCCAATGGAACTGCGCAGTAAACTGCGGATCTCTCAAACCACTGCGCCTGTGCAGCGAAATGCATCACGCTTCTTGCGCGACATGTCATTTTCATGCAAATCACAATGGAATAACGTCGCAAACTGACACGTGACACATCCATGAAAAGTCACTTGCAAAAGCTTCCCCCAATGGCAGCGCCTTAGCGTCCTACTGCGAACGGTTGCGAACATAGAAGCAACGGGTCGCGAACAAGACTCTACCCCCAGACCCCCAGAGTTAAACGAGAACCCTTCGCTACGCATTCGGGAAAAAAAGAAATCCGTGCGGCGGCGCAAAGCTGGCTGGTACACCCCGGCCAGGACTCACACTGCGTCCCCGCTGCCCTGTGTCTCGGATGACCTTGTACAAAATTCCATCGGCTAGAGCGGGATCAAGTCGCTTTGCAAGGACTTGATGCCCGGCATTGGGCCAGAGCTTCCAACCTTTGAGCTTTCCAGTATTGTGCAAGCGCACTGTCCTGGGTTTCCACGCTTGGTGACGCCACTGTCACTGCTCTTCGTTCAGCTGGGTGGCGTCTGAAGTGCGAAGGACCAAAAACACCTTGCTGGCGACGACTTGAGCGGTGGCGCGGATCCAAGTGGGCGTGATGGTGATGCGGTACAGTCCCCGGCCGTGGGTCTGGTGGGCGTGCTTGCTGGGCATCGTGTGCGAGGAGGAGTCGCCAGGAAGTGGACTTGGTGGAAGCTTGGGCAGAACTGGTCCCGGAATAAGGTCTGCATGTTGGAAGTGATCCAAGAAAGCTGCATCGAAACAGATCTTCCCACAATCACTGCATCTGAAGCAAAGGTGGTGGCCGGTACAGTCCCCGGCCAGGACCAAACAAGGCATCACCAAATGGCCAGTACAGTCCCCGCTCCGGCAAGAGACCCGAAACAGTGTGGGTGAGGTCTAGAGGTGTAGCAGCACAGAGTCTAGTAAGACTGGGCCCAGACAGAGAGGTGGTGATGATGAAGGTGGAGATCGTGGTGCATGATGGTAGTGGTGAGTGAGTGAGTGAGTGAGTGCCGTGCCGTGCCGTGCCGTGGCGTGGCGCGCCGTGGCGTGGCGTGCCGTGGCGTGGCGTTGCGGTGCGTTGCGGTGCGGTGCGTTGCGGTGCGGTGCGGTGCGGTGCGCGGCAAGACTTCCCCCGAGTCTGAAAACGAGGGAGTGAGGGAGGGAGGGAGGGAGTGAGTGAGTGTGTGTGGGTGGGCGAGTGAGTGAGTGGGTGGGTGAGTGAGTGGGAGTGTGAGTGTGAGTGTGAGTGAGTGTGCATGTGAGTGTGAGTGTGGATGTGAGTGGGAGTGAGTGTGAGTGTGTAGCGTGTGTGAGCGTGAGAGAGTGAAAGTGAGAGTGTAGCATCTGAGAGCGCGCCTCAGAAAGCACAGACTGCTGTGCCTGCCACGCAATCTGCACTTCGAGGCCACAATGTGCTGCGCCTGCCACGAAATCTGCACTTGAAGATTCACGCGCCGCAGCCCAGCCAAGGCGTTTCGCCGCAAGACTTCCCCCGATGTCTGAAAACGAGCCACATGTAGAACTGACAGTCACGATTCACTGCGCCTGTCACGAAATTAGAGCGCGTCGAAGATCACCACCGTATCCGAAGTGCTGCGCCCACGAAATCTGAAATTTCGAAGTAGCACCGCTCTGACCCCTTGCACCTCTCACGAAAAGTCGACTTTGGACCACCAAAACACGAGGTTTCCCTTGCACCTGCCACGAAAAGTGACGACCATGTCCGAAAAGGCGCGCAGCGCCACTACGAGAGCGCAGTCGCAACAAGCACCCACCGCGGCCAACCAGATTTTGCAAGCCTGCGCAGTCGAATAATAGCAACAAATTAGCCGGACACACGTGACCTCCATTGGACACCGGCCGTTATTAACCCCGCCCTACCGTAAGAACCCCTAGCGTGACGACTGTGTGGGGAAGAGCCAATCTCTGACTGGCTGGCTGCCTTCAAATAAGAAATCCGTGCTGTGGCGCAAAGCTGGTCCGGCAAGGGGTCTTAGTAAGGCACAAAACAGGATTTGATAAAACAACTCTGTGGTAATAAAGTGAAAAATTATAATACCCAAAAGCCAAGGCAAAGTTACCCATCGGATGTGGCTTGTACGACTGCCGTGAAATGTCGAAGTACAGGTAATCACACCCGTAGGCGACAATGGCCAATTGCTCCGACTGAACGTCGAGGTTCACAAAGTGCTGTACCTGCCACGAAATCTGCAAATGAGCCACATGTCAAAAAGTCACGATTCACTGCACCTGTCACGAAATCTGAGCTCCTCGACGATCACCACCATGTCCAAAGTGCTGTACCTGCCACGCAATCTGCATTTCGAAACAAAACAGCTCCGATCCCTTGCGCCGTCACGAAAAGTCGACTTTGGAGCACCAAAACACAAGGTTTCCCTTGCCACGAAAAGTGACCACCATGTGCGAAAATGCGCACCCTGCGCACTCGAAATACATGGACGATTTCAAGAGGTATGAGTGTACTGTACATAGCAGCGAATTAGCGGCACACGCCCGCGCGGCACACCGATCCAAGCACAGCTGCTTTTCTACTACCGTAAGAACCCCTAGTGTGTCCACACTGTTTGGGGAAAAAACGCGGAAGTTCTAGGAGAGACCTTCAATTCCAAGCCCCCCAAGCCGGAGCTTTTTGGAGTCCCGCACAAAAACACCGCTCCACGGTGGCCCGAGGTTTCTGCGGCGATTTCCTTTTCCATGTGATCCTTGTCTCGCGAAACCCTCCATAAACCTCTTTCTCTTCATTTCTCTTCCCACCACTTCTTCTTTTTGGAGGGGAGGTAACACACATTCCCTCTATTTTCACTCCAACCTCCCAACCAAACCTTTTTCAAGCACTCAACCAGCCCCCCCCCCGTTCCCCACCTTCACCCGCCATGGACCCGCGACGCGCACCTGCTGCACCGCCCAACTCTCCGGGCGGAGCTCCTCTGCTCCGGACGCGTTGCTTCGACGACCCGGATGTGGTGGTTGAGCGCGGAGGTGAGGTCCCGGAGAGTGGGGCGAAACCAGCCAGGTGACGGAATGAAGGTGCGGAGCTAGGTGTGATGTGTCTTGGACCCCGGTCGTGAGTTGGACGCGGAGCTCCCCCACTCGAAGGTGAGTGGCGGATAGAGGAAATCCATGGAAAATCTCCGAATCATGGTGAATGAATGAATCAAGAAGCTACTACTGTAGTAACAAGGACGCTATTAGGTGGAGGCCATGCCAAGTAGGTTCCTTTTGCTACTAGTTACAAGAAGCGGTGAATGAATCCAAAACAAAGGGTCGACGACCTGATGGAAAAACCGCTCACGCTCCGCAGACCCTATACGACGTCGGGACACCGGTGGAAGCGGTGGTTCACTAGATGCTATTTTTTTGGGCCTTCCACTCAACTAAGTCATAACCCGCAACAGGTGATGTAGTTTTCTAAGTCATGGGGTCTTAGCAAACAGTTCCCAGAAGCTAGGACCTAGGTTTCTATCTCTTGTTGTAGCCTGCCATCAAGAGGGCCTGCAAAAGAAACACATCAAAAACACGGACTCCGTCTGTGTGTGTATGTGCTCCAGTGTGTCAGAAGCTAAGACCGAGGCTTCTATCTGTTCATGGGTATTCAGGTTATTGACTGAGGCAAAAGACAAGGCTCCGTAGCAAGTTTCCTGCACTATTCCAAGAGTTCCTTGCATCTTTGAGATTCCATGACCAAAAGCACAAGCTTCCATCAAAGAATTCAGGAATTCTTGCGAACATCGAAAGAGAACCGAAGTCTTTGCATCACTTGCCTTCTTCACTCCCTCATGATTTCACTCCCTCGTGATCATACAATGAATGTCTTCTTCCAGTGTCAGCCGCATGTTTTCCGCAAGCTCTCCATGTTTCATGGTGTTTCATCGTTCAGCTCTCCCTCATCTCGAGCTCCATGTCCTCAAAGCCATCCAGCTGCAAATGCAAATCCCCAAAGTCCATCCGACCACCTGGCCGGACCGGCCGGACGGTCCATCCGCCACCGGTCTCGCCGGTCGCCCACCCGCAACGACACCACCGGGAAAACACGAGGTTTCGGTGCAGGGTGGGCGGCTGGTGGCGGTTTGATATGGCGGTTTGATATGGCTGCTGGTGGTCTCCAGCTCTTCGGCTGATTTCTCCTTCCGTTTTAAGAGTTGACAACTCCTCCAAGCTACTAGCGATGAGGAACAAGGTTCGCTACGTTCCAAACAAAGGGCAAAAGCTACTTGTAACAAAGGGCATGGGCAGAAGCCATGGGGCTACGAGTTAACGAAATGAATCTCCAGGGCATCTCGACGGACTTAGTCGTCCGACTCTCCGTATAGTACATCCCGGCCCGGAACAAGTCTGAAGCCAGCCCGGACACTTTCCCAGATGTGCTCATCATTCGATGCCCATACTTTTGTTGACCTGCATGTGGAGCTATAGGCCAGGCATCTAGTCACATAGTCCAGAACGAACGACACAAAAACATCAACGAACGACACACGAAGGTGCTAAGGCCCGTACCACGCACGGATTCGGTCGCACATCAATGAGCAGCCATCGTGCAGGGTCAGAAGCGAGTTCAAACCTTGTCGTTCCAGTTGATAGCTGGGTAGCTTGGTGGGTTGGTTATGGTTGGTTGGTTCACCATGGGCGTCAGATGTTTCCACACAATCAAAAGGTCAACCAGTCATCTCATGTCTTTGATCACAACAACGACTGGACGACTGCCGTGGATAGTCTATGGAGGGATGCTTTGCCTCCTTTCTTTTGGATTTTGAGGCTTGAAACGGCCACGGTCAGAAGGAATTTACATTGAATCGACTAGGCCATGAAAACTGGTGTCCTTGCATCCGGGAAAGCACCAATTCTGTCCAAACCACAACTGGCTGGCCCATCCAACTAAGCGAACCAGTGACCACAATAAGGGAGGCAATAAGTGAGGCCCACATTTTCACTTTCTACACACTATTTAGAGATAAAACATGTCTTGGCGACTGAAAACATCTGCCGACACTTTTCGTTCCAATGCGATTGAAAAACACCTGCCTACACCCGCTTCTTGGCCTGCATGTGCCCCAAACAACTTTTTCAGCTACACTCCCGAATGGCCCTGACATAGACCCTGACGTCCTGGCCCGCTGGAAGAGCGGTTTCCTCTACCAAACAGTGGTTTTCAGGGTCCATGTTAGTCTTCCAGGTGTATATATATCCTCAAAGCCGTGTGTAAACAATCACCTGGACGGTCCTGGACGCTTCATGATTGATCACGCTCTTCGGACGACTGGATGACGAGCCTCCTTTCGGAACTCTTCGCCCAAGGCCGGACGAGCTGCAGTGACATGTTCGGAACCTTTCCGCTACTAGGGTGCCAACGCTAGTAGGTTGGAGGCCATTGCTGTCTGTCTTTTCAGCGCCTTTGTCCTCGCAGCAAGCAGCAACCTCCTCACTTTGTACAAGGCCACCTTCGGCCAGAGGTCACCACACAAGGCTATGCGCACGTCCAGGAGACGCAAACAAAGATCTGTTTGGCACCTACGTGATGCGTGCTATTTCAGGCTGTTGGAGATGTAGGCGAGATCCCGCTGCTGCCCCTGGACTGTGGTTTGACGGTTCTTCTTTCGGTGGTACTCTCAGCGCGGACCCGGCCCAGCAGTCAGACCTGGATTCCATGAGACGTCGGTCTCCAGATCCTTTCGGGCACCGCTTTGGGCCCCATTGGTCTCGATCGCGGTGATCCTTGGGATCACCTGGGGGTGGTGGTTGGTTGGAGAGGAGCAGCAGTGAGGCCGTTCATTTGGACTTGGGACGGCAAATGATGCAGTTCTTCACCACAGGGACCAGTTACAAGCCTGGGGCCAGTGTTGCAGTGTACTGCGCTATAGCCAGTCAATCGGAATTCTTGTGGGTGGAACCACCGGCAGCCGCCTGCAGGCTGACCCCAAACTGTACACAACATGTCTACCCAATAGGGGGGTTTCAAGTTGGCATCTGTCAACCCGCGGGGGATTAGTTTTTGGTTTGGACCTGCTGGTGCCCTCACCACCTTCACACACTGCACATCTCCTCCCCGCCCACGTCCGCCAGCTACCGCAGGCGTGCCACCGCAGCGCAACTCCAGCTCTGCAGTCGTGTAGCTTGCGCCGAGCTCTAAGGCCATTCCCAAATGGGGTAAGGACAACACCTGCAAGAATCGCAGGAGCCCGGATGGAACAGTGACGAACACATGGACGTGTCAGTCTCAGACTCCAGCCAGTCGAAATATAGTCTTTGGACTTCTAGGGTATATATATATATATTAGACTTGGATCTCAATCAAGAAAATGGGAACTGGTTCTGGGAATTGCAAGCGGATGTACGCAACAATCGCTTGGACCCTGTTTGTTCAAACCGGAAGTCAGTCAGTCTGTTGGACCATCCTGAAGAAAAATCTGACACGGTGTTTGGGTTGGGATTGGAGGCGGTAGAATCTAGAGCCAAAACATTCCCGGGCACCTGGGTTGGAACAATCATGGTTACGTGGAAATGGCCCCTTCAATGACAATATTCCTCTACAAAGAAGTGGTTTTCCATGGTTTTCCACTTCCATGTTTGTTTCAGGGAGTGTAAACCTCCAAAATGCATCAAAATGCTACTCACTTCAAACCCGGCCTGGTACGCCAAAGCCATGCCAAATGATGGAACATGTCTATGAATGATGATGCATGCGAGAATTTGCAATGAGCCTTGATCATCATTCGGGTTCTTTTATCTGTACCTAGGGGGCTTCGTTTATGAAATCAAGCTTTCGAGCATAAAAGCTTGGATCCAGCGGACTTCTTGAACACGTACATATATTTTTTATCGAGTGAAAACTAGTGGGCAGTTACCACTGAGCCATGCCCCACTGCCATTGACTTGCTCAGTGGTGGGGCATCATCCACCGTGTTCTGTGCAAAGTGGCTGTGATAAGGTTATTGCTTTTGAAGGAGGGCCTATCGCTCTCTACTATTTTGATCTTTAGATGTTTTGGCCGTTGCTCATGTGTGTGCCATAGGTACACACGGGTGTTGATGAGCAGCATCTCCTGGCAGGTTTTCAGGCTGGCGCGACATTCTGCTACTGATGGCTGTTCAAACAATTTCACGGTACGCACGGAACATTTTTGCTATCTCTTTGAGCTCCTTTGGGCACAAGGATATAGATTCCAGAGTTTTTGCCTTGGGGTGATGGACAAAAGCAATGTGACCACTATAGTGCGGGAATGGGAAAGCAAGGACTTCACTCAGCTAGGTGCCACTGGGATCATGGCCAGGGTTGCCAAGGAAACAACCGTGTCTCTGAGGCCGAGACGAAAACACTCATGAAAAGCCGGTGGCACTACTACGTAGTGCATGGACTTTTGGTGTCACAACTACGTCGTGTTTTGAACAAAGAGTCTTTTTGAATGCATGAGAAGTGCGATGATTTCCATTGCTCATCCGATGTGGTCCTAGGACTCTGCCCCGTCGTCGGTCGATGAGACGCTCTAGAGACGCGGCCTCGTTTTTCTCGGCCTCGTGGACGACCACTGCCAAACCGCTGGGGGCTTAGTGCAAATCATACCTTACCCACGCTCATGCTCACACACTCTACCAAATGGTCTCCCTCCTCTCACACCCCAGGCTCCTTCCTAAAGACAAAGGCATGGCTCCTTCCTCCCTCATTGGTGTATTGCTTCAGTCGTGCGCCTGGCAGGGGGGCACCGCTCTGGTGAAGCCGTCAGTGCGTCATGAAAATGGAGATGGACAAAATCTTGTGCCTTAGCTCCCCAAATGTAACACTTCTCTCATGCAATGCATGAACTATAGATCCCAAATCCTCCCTGCATCACGGATTCAGCTCCTGCACCATTGGATGAGTCGGAGGATGAAACCGATGACGCTAGTGGGGTCGAAGAAGATGGGCAAAGTGAAGCTATGGAAGAAGACCCTGAAATAGCTGAGGACTGGTCAAGGGGTCAGTGCTGGAAGAACATTTCCAGACTGGATCTCAATACCCACATGGTTCGCATGTGGACAAAAACTTGCCAGGGTCTACTGCCATTGAAGCGAAGCAAAACAGAAAGCACCTCACAGAAAAATCGATACGTACCGTATCAAACAACCTGGCTCAGTTCGCAGGGAATGCACGAATGACCCTTCCGGCGGAGTCATGTGCGCTCTTGTTATGGGGACGTCTCCGGCATGAACAGGACACCTGGAGGCCCGAGGGTTGGCAAATGAAACACCAAGACGCAGCATCCATCCAATCCCATCCACCCGTGGACCATGTAGCTGGCAGCTCAGCATGCAAAATGTCTTGTGCCAGAGTCAAAGGGAACCTTTCACGGGCCCATCTTTTGGACGTCAAACCCAGGAAACTTGTGAGAAAACATCAGAAAATACCTTCCTTCCAAACAGGTCTTGCCATTAAGGAACGCACAGTTTTGGCCGCAAGTCGGACCCCCCTTCCAAACGGAATCTCCCGAACACATCGTTGAAGGCTCCTCCTTCCGTTTTCCCCCCCAGCACCTCGTGGACTGGTCGGTCTCTCCGGTCCCTTTCATCTCTTCCACCTGTCGCCAAACGCACAGCTCTGAAGGCTTCCCACGGCCACACCAGGGGCACCACGACACTGGGTGCGAGCCCCATGCCAGACCCTTTGGACGTTGTTGTTGGAGCAGCTTAGGCACCAAAACAATGTATACCTGGATCTTCCAACTGTGACAAATTTCTGCCTTTTCATTTATAAAACCTGCCAAAAGGAAGAAACTTTGCATAGTTGGAAGATCCAGGTATGATGATTCCGAAAGAGCCGTTCACAGCCCGTCCCCTCCCGTGATTTGCTGGACCTCTTGGACTGATTCGAGTCCAACCCCTCCAATGTGAGATGGTTTCTAGTCCTTTGGGGCGCGAAAAACACCGGTTTCTGAAAAACCGATCGATCTTCCAATTAGCCTGGGAGTGCAGGAAAGACATGTTTTCCCGAATGCGTAGCAAAGGGTCGTTCTTAAGTGGTGGTGTGTGGGGTAAGGTCGGTTCGCCATTTTGGGCTTGGTATTGCGTGCTGCGGGAAAGGATTTGGAGAGGTGTTTCGATGGAGGGTGATCGTTGTTGCAAATACTTTTTTTGGGATGTTGGATTTGGAAGTGTTATAACAGTTATAACTCTTGCGGAGGTGGAGCGTCTTGGGAGATCTACAGTTTGGCGTGCATTTAGATTGGGGTCTGGATGGTGGTGTTTTTGGGCGCGGTGTTGGATGTCGCCGTGGCATTGGAATTTGCGTTGCAGGGTGTTGCGTGGAAGTCGTGTTTTTGGGAGAAGTCTCAGCTCAAATGATGATTTTGGTGGATGCGAGCCGGAGATGCTGTCTACAAAGTGTCGAAATCATTCCGAGCGTGTGGCAAGGTGGAAATTTTGTTGAATTCAACGAAGATATGTGGCAGGCACACGACTTCTGGCGTGTTTTGAGGTGTGAAAGTGCAATTTTCGTGGCAAACGCAGGGAATTGTGGGGGTGCGAGGTGTGATAGTTTTCGTGGCAGGCGCAGTGCTTTGTGCATGTGTGGCGGTGTGGGCGTGTGATTGTTTATTTTC